AGTGCCCCTGATGGTAGAAGGGGAAGAGGACGTTTTGCTCGAGTTTATAGAATGTCAAGAGATAGAAGAATATGGTTGTGTTCTGCTATTGAAGATGATGACTTTCGCCCACTAGCTACTCCGAGGATTAAGCAGAATATTTCTGATTTTAGAAGAAGTCAGCAGTTTTCTAAAACTATTATTGGAAGTGGACAGGATAAGGACTTCAATTGTTCTATTGATTTCCAGAATACATCTACGATCCCTGTCATTAGTAGGGATGTCGTCGAGAGTGTGGAAGCAACTACTGTGAATGCTTCAGGGAAAGGAAATGAAAATAGAAGGAAGAGGAGAGTCTTAATTTCTGAAGCTCTTGAACTGGTTAATAATTCGACTATTTCATCATCTTTTTCGGAATTGATGAAGGAAGCATTGGATACATGGGAAGTCTGTGAGATGTTAGGAATTTCATTTAAGGGAAGGAGGCTTTTATTGAAAAATTATTAAGTCTTGAAAAAGAGTTAGATGTAGTAAGGGGGGATGATGGTTGGACTGTATATGTTGTGTGTAGGGGGTATTTTCTTGTTTATGAATAAATTAAGTATTATTTCGTGGAACATTAAGGGTCTCGGGAGGAGTGAAAAGTGTGTAGCTGTAGCAAGGCTTGTCAAGAAGACGAAACTAGTTTTTTTGTTCATTTAAGAATCCAAGTTGAAACGATGCCATGGGTCGATCTTAAGAAGGATAGGGGGTAACTTGTTAAAGGGGGTGCAGGTTTCTCCAGCACAGGGTTCATCGGGGGGTTTGATTTCTTTGTGGAATGAGAATGTGGTTCAAGTCACATATCAGTATGATCATAGTAGGTTTTTGGCGTTAGTGGGAAAATTTAAGAATGGTCTGATGGAGTTTGTAGTTATTAATGTTTATGGGCCTCCAGTTGAAGCTGAGAAGGATTTTTATGAGGAGCTGCTAAACTATGTTAGTGCTATAAATTTACCAGTTTGTTTAGGGGGAGATTTCAATGCGTATCTTGATCCAGAAGAAAAGATTGGAAAATCACAAAATTGGCATACTATCGATATTTTCAGGTCTTTTGTGCAACATGCCAAACTTATTAACTTGCCTGTGTTAGGAGGTTCTTTCACTTGGTGCAGCAATAGAGAATCTTCAACATGGGTGAGACTAGACCGGTTTTTAATTTGTGCAAGATTCCTTAAGAATTTCCCTAACATTTCGTAGTTTCTTTTACCGAAATATATTTCAAACCATAATCTAGTTTTGTTGGAGGATAAGTCTACAAACCTTTTAGGTTCTTTAACTTTCTTTAAGAAGAACAAGGTTTCGAAGAATTAGTTGTAGAATCTCTGGTAGTAGATGAAAGGAAGAACAATAGTGGTGGAATTTTCAGAATACTGCAGAAAGCTAAAAATAAAATCAGGAACTGATCTGGAAGTGGCCATTTAGGGCTGGCAGAGTCCATTTCTTTGCTGGAAATCAAAATTAACAGTTTGGACTTAAAGTGTCAAGGTGGAAATTTGTCTGCAGGGGAACGGGATCAATTGACTGAATTTAAAAAGGAATTATGGAGACTGCTAAGGATCGAGGAGAGGATTTGGTATCAAAAATCCAGAAATAGGTGGATCAATGATGGTGACAGGAATACAAGGTTTTTTCACCTTAGTGCTATGAAAAGGAATAGAATCAACACTATTCATTCTATCAATTTTAAAGGCAGATTAATCTCGGATCCATAACAGATAAAAGAAAGTGTGTTTAATTTTTTCAAGAATGCCTATAATGAAAAAACAACACTGAAAGTTGAGGGCCTGAATTTTGATTTTAAATAGTTGTCTCAAGCTCAAAGTGATTTCCTAGAGGTGTTTACAGAGCAAGAAGTGTGGCAAGCAATTTCATCTTCTGAAAGTGCAAAAGCTCCTGGGCCGGATGGTTTCACCATGGGTTTTTTCAAGAAGTACTGGAAGTTTTTAAAGGTGAAGATTATGGAGTTTTTTTCATATTTCTACAATGGAAAACAGTGGGTTCATGGGGTTAATCACGCTTTTATTACCTTGATTCCAAAGAAAGGTAATACTGAGAGTATTGAAGATTATAGACCTATTAGTTTAGTGGGCAGCTTGTATAAGATTCTCTAGAAAGTTCTATCAAAAAGACTTATATCTTGTGTTAAAGATATTGTTAGCCCTACACAGTTTGCTTTCATTCCGGGGAGGCAATTGTTGGATTGTGCCTGTTTAGCCAATGAAGGCATCGATTACTGGAGGAAACAAGGACTGCAGGGGGTTGTTTTTAAAGTGGATTTTAGCAGAGCATACGACACTGTGGATTGACAGATTTTGTTAAGGCTTATGAAGGAGATGGGCTTCGGAGAAAAGTGGTGTTCTTGGATTGATCAGTGTATTTCCACAGCCTCAATATCTGTTTTATTGAATGGGTCTCCTACAAAGGAGTTTCATATTGCGAAAGGTTTGCGACAAGGATGTAGTCTTTCTCCTCTTTTGTTTAACGTGGTTGGTGAACTTCTTCATATGATGTTAACTAAAGTTGTGGATTTGGGCTTATTCCAAGGATTTTCTTTTGGAAAGAGTCAAAACTGTTTCAATTTGACTCATCTCCAGTTTGCTGATGACTTAATTATTTTTTGCCGAGCCTCCATCACTCAAATTAAAAATGTTAGACGAGTGTTGACGATTTTTAGTTTTATGACGGGGGCTTCATCTTAATTTAGTTAAAAGCAAACTTTATGGTATTAATGTGGAGGACATCATTGGAAATTGGGCTAAGGACATTGGCTTCTCTATTGGTTCCTTTCCGACGGTTTATTTAGGCCTTCCGTTAGGGGCTAAAAGGAACTGTGAGAAATTGTGGGAGCCGGTCATCGTCAACTTCGATAAGAAATTGGCGGGATGAAAAGCTTCCTCTTTGTCTATGGCCGGTAGATTGGTGCTTATCAAGTCGGTATTATCCTCCTTACCTATCTTTTATCTTTCCATTTTCAAGATTCCATCTAAGATTTGTCAAAAATTAAACTCTTTGATGGCGAACTTTTTATGGGGTGAAGGGGAAGAGAAGAAGAAAATGCATTGGGTGAGTTGGAATAAGATCTGTAAACCGAAAAGTGCAGGTGGTCTAGGAGTTGTTGACTTGAAGATTACTAATAGAGCTTTGCTGGGAAAGTGGGTTTGGAAGTTTGCAAATGAAAAAGAATCCTTGTGGAAGAATTTCTTATGCTCTAAACATAATGTAAGTTGTCTTTCTATGGATGTAAATAAAGTCCTTTCTCACAAGGACTCTTGGATTTGGAGAGGTATTGTGAATCATGAAGGATGATTTCATTGGAGGATGCATTAGATCTCATGCGAAGCTACAAGTTGGGAATGGCAAATCAATCTCCTTCTGGGATGATACATGGCTAGGGGATTTTCCTTTGAAAGTTCTTTTTCCTAGGATTTTTGCTCTATCATCAAACCAAGGGGGTAAGGTTGCTGATTTTGGTAGCTTTGATTTGAATGGATGGGAGTGGAATATTAAGACTAGGAGGAACCTATGTGATTGGGAAGTGGTTCAGCTGGTTGGATTATTGGGCAAGCTCAATGATATCAAATTAAATGAATCTTTGGAGGATTGTTTGCTTTGGGATGACGTGGGTGAGGGGTTGTATTCTGTAAAAGCTTGCACGACATCAATCTCCTCAGTTGATGAGGATCCTTTTATGTGGAGTAAATGTGTTTGGCAGGGACTAGTTCCTCCTAGAGTAGAGGTTTTCCTTTGGCAAGTATCACTCAATAAATTAGCGGTTAGAGTGGAATTGAAGAAAAGGGGAGTTCCTATAGGTGAGGACATTCAATGCCCCTTTTGCAATCAAGCTGAAGAATCAATTCAGCACCTGTTTATTTCCTGCCAGTTTTCGTGGGTGTTATGGAACAAAATCATAGGCTACTGGGGTATCAGGTTAGCCTTACCTGCTGATCCTTCTTCACTTCTAAATTCATGGTCTGCTTTGAGGCCTTATTCAGATATGTGGAAGTTTATTTCGGGGGCTGTTTTTTGGCCAATTTGGAAGATGAGAAATGAAATTATTTTTGAAAGAGGTAAGATGGACACATCCTCACTGTTTTTCACAGTTAGGGTAAGGTTAGCGAAATGGTTCCTAGCTAAGTATCCTCTACTCTCTATTCAAGTGGATTCTTTAATTGGGGATCCTTCATTGGCTGATAAAATTTCAGCTTCTAGGGATTTGAACAGGCCTGTGGTTAGCTGGAGTCCTCCTCCAGTTGATGTTTTTAAGTTTAACGTGGATGGTGTTGTGAGTAGTGTTGGGATGTTAGCTGGAATTGGGGGAATTCTAAGAGATTGGAATCGGATTAAGCTTTTGTCGTTTTCAGAAAAAATAGGTCCTACTCCTATCATTTTAGCAGAGTTGAAAGCTATCAAAAGAGGCTTAGAAATCTTTGTGTCATCAGAATGGGTAATGAAGGGAAGGTTATTGAAAGTGATTGCAAGTTAGCCGTGGATTGGTTGAAATATCAGGAGTCGGTTCCACCTTTTCTTTTAAATTTTGTTAAGGATATTACGGCTACTGTTTCTGAGAATGAGGTCATTGTGAGGTGGATTCCGAGAAGCTGCAATTGCGAGGCAGATTTGCTTGCAAAGGAGGGGATTGGATAATGGTTCACTTTGTTGTACTGAGTTCGGATGTTTTATTCCAAGGGGGTTATTAGAGTGTGGTTAAGTTTTATGTATCTTCAAGGAGTGGTTTAAGTCTTATGTAATCTATTTATAATCAATATATTCAGGTACTCTTTTCCTCCTTCCGCTAGTCGGTTCTAACCTCATGGTAAAGGACTACTAAGAAGGAGGTTTTTAATGAGACCTACTATTCCTATCAAAAAAAATCTCCATTAAAGAATAAATAACAGGATCTTGACTAATATAAGATCATACGAAACTTCTAAGGCTTCTTGAAGCTGTAACACTCAACAGAAAACATATTGAATTGATACCTTTGATGGATCAAAGCCAAATCCACTCATCTGCATCATACGTTGTGTATCATCGGTTGCTGCAAAAATAATAATGATAATAATAAATAAAACTACAACTTCTGTAATGAAACCTACAAGAGATGATAGATCCAAGAACAGAAGAAACTGCTGATTGCCATCTAATATAAAACATGATAGGAAGTTCATGATCCAATACTAACCATTTTCCTCTCCTAGAATCAGACTAAATAAACCCCTCAAACCAAATAAATTGAGGAAATACCTGGACATTAAAGAATTTGTCAATAATTGGCGTAATACTTAGTCAAGAAAATTTCTCAAAAACAGAACAGCTCAGAGAGAAAAACCAATTAAAAGGACATTTATAAAAAAACATCTTGCATACAAAATACGATCATTACCATGAGCGGCTACTAACGTAGCTGACATCAACTGTGCTAAGGTCAATTCCATTCTGTAACATTGATCTGAACCTTTGAGTCAATGGGAAGGGTATTTTGGCTGCAAAGGAAAGCAAAGAGAAGAGGCAACCACATTACCATTTACCAACAGAACAACAGTATCAACAAATAAAAATCTTAATAACACTACGTGATCAGTTAAGTAAGACTTTGATTATGACACGACAAAGATTATGTCCACCATGCAGAAAGAATGAAAATGGAACAGATCCCAATCTAATAGGAAAGGAGTTAACTTTGGCAAATTCGGTACATCAGATACAGGAAATCAATTTTGTAAATAGATCTGCAATTTAATCTCAAACGTAGCATGAAAGGGGGGATACTCAGAAATTTTGGAATGAAAACAGTAATAAAGAGCCAGACCTGCAACAAATCCAGAGAAGAAGAAGTTGACCCATGCAAAAGTGAGAGTCTGACAACAGCAACAAGTTTATAAAAAACAGTCAGTTCTCTACTTCTCTATCATGAGCAATTACACCAAAGCATATGAAAACCAAAGGTGCAAGCACCATAAAAATACCTGAGGTATAATCATAGAGAGGTTTTTCTTCATCATATCCATAGCCATGTTAGGGTCAGAGAACATTTGAGCTTGAGCGTTTTGAGTCTGCCCCTTGGGGACAAACAGTAATCCATTTTCCTATAAAGTGCCACAAAACTACCTTTAGTTTATCCTTTTCTGAGAGGTGAAGGAACATACACTTGATGTATCATTTTCATCAACTTAAACTGATTTTAACGAAGCTTAATATTGGCAGATCTATAGTCTATCGATTAGTTGCAATCCCAACAAAATAATAATTTAACTACTGCGATTGTGCAATCGGCTTGCAGCACAATAAGCTTCTAAACAATAGAAGAAGAAAATAAAAGACATTTCGAAAGAAAAAAAAAAGAATTACTAGTAAAAATTATGGTCATAGAAGTTTTAAAAGAAGAAGAAAAAGGTCAACCTCATTACTGAAATAAACCCTACGTGAGAGAAAGGACTTGGGAGGGATAAAATTAGCAGCAGCTCGCAAATTCCGAGCCCGAACAATTACTTGCCTGGAAATAAAAAATCGGGAATCGATGAATCTGAGACATACTTATCTCTATCGAATTTTCGTTATATATATATATATAACAGAGTGGGGAGAGAAATACCCCTCTTTGACGATCTTAGGATCGGGAACTTGAGAGGAGCGCATGAGCTTAGAAACAAAGTAGCGGAGGATGCCAATGAGAACCATAACCACTGATAGAGGTATCAGCACCCAATCTCTGATCGCCGTATCCAGCACCAGATCTTCAGCCATCACTACTATTTGCTCCTCCGACGAAAACAAGAGTTTGGCTTATGTTTTCTCTGTACTTCTTTACATTGAGTTGTTGTCATTTTAAAGGTAAAACTACATGAAAAGGTCATTAACGTATTAATAAATTTTTATTTGAGTCAGTGAAGTTTTAATCGTTATATTATGATCATTAATAGCATCTAATTATCACAAAATTGTCATTTTAATATTAAGTTAAACCAGCTACGAAGGTTTTTTTTATTTACCTAAAGATAATTACAAAATAGTATATGTTTTAAATACTCTCAAATATTTGAGAATGAACGTTCAATCACCTTTACAGTCGCTAGGTACTCGAACATGTTACCTTTAGAAAGAACAACAATTTTTTTAATCACTGAAGTAAGTTGGTTCATACAGTTTTTTTTATTTTCAAGCGGGGATCAAACTTATATTTTAGGGTATTTAGAACATTTTATGTACAATATGACATCACCGGAATATTTTCATGTAAATCGTTTTTTGTTCCTAATATGAGTAAAATACTCTCTACCATAAAAGATTTATAATCGTATTTTCAGAATAAAAAAACAATTTCAAAAAATAATATTTATTGTTAAAATTTCGACCGATTACTCACCAAACCACACTTAAAAATCTATTTGCAGACTAATTTTCAAGTGAAAACGACGAGAAAATATATATAATATTGAGACTATAAATTCAATACAAATTCGATCCGTCCCAAACAAAAAGAAATTCCCACTCAAATCAAATAACATATCAGGCTGATGAATCAGCAGCAAATGCCAAAAGGCCCAAAACTATGGCGCACTTTCTAAACCCAAACTATCTCGGGTCATCGTTTTTTATCCACACCCAATCACCGTTATTGTTCCGTTACGTAAAATAAATAAATAAAATCCAACAATTTTTTTAAAATTAAATCACTATTTTTATTTAAAATAAGAAATATCTTAAATTACAATAAGTATTTACAATCATTATCGGTAAATAATCACATAATTAAGATAATTTCCTATAATCATTGAAACAAACTAAAAACTTAAAATCACATAAGAACCATACAAAGAAAGATTAAAATCTAACCAATAAACTTGAACAAATATAGATACAAACATATCTGATCGCAACGAAAAACAAACTACAAAAGGGGATCAGGCTATTTAAAGACCACGACAAACCGCAAATCAGACTCGAACGACGTGAAAAGCTATCAACAAACACATAACGGGTATCCAAATCTAATCCGAGGGTCCAAAGCAAAGAAGATCAACAATATAACAGATAAGCACCATATAGATCAGTCTTAGTAATGTCAAATCAACCCCTATAAAAAGATAAGTGAAAACAATGACCAAAAGGTCGAAAAACATACCAAAAGACAGAATAAAACGTGTCATACAGACAAATTTATTTAAAAAGAAAAGAAAAATGTAATATAATAAAATAAAATGATAGTAAATAATACCGACGGTTAGCAACCCACATTAAAATTGGTGTCATCGCCAATCAATAAAGATAAAAAGAAAAATATATGAACGATTTACCGATAAGAAGAAAGTAGGAGAGAAAGCCCATTGTTATAACAATTTCTTAAAACAATTAAAATTATTATGTTTTACAGTAAATTATGTGAATTTTTTTACCGTGATATAATTCACAACTGCAATAGCATCCGCAATTTCATCGTCTTTCAAGCTGTCTCCTCGTCTTTTATAGTTGGAACTAGGACTAGTACCTCATGGTTGAGTTAAGGCTACTGACAATTGTAGTTGTGACCTGTTTGCCATTCTTAAAATGACACGGACGACTGGTAGTAGAAGACGAGCTCTATTAATGTCTTCACCGACTAGAATTTCATCTTGGGGAAGCATGGAGTCAGACAGTTGCTGAGTTCAAAATCTCTTACTCATTGGGGAAAATGTCGTTTCACATTTAAGCAGGTTAGTTGTGCTCTTCCATATATCTATTACGATGATAGAACCACCTCCTTTATCGAAAAGTGCAATGAAATTTAAACAGGCAATTCTTGAAGAATGCGGGTTTGGAGAATATATATATATGATTGAATTCAATGGTTGAAACTTGTATCCCTCCATCAATGCAGGTGTTGAATGAATGAATGTTGGTTGTTGTACAAAAAAAAAGAGATGGAAGCAACGTGCAGACACCATTTGTTTTGCTCACGTGCAGAGTAGGTTTCTCAATCAATACATATACAAACCAGCTCATCACTGATCAATATTCAATTATAAAATTCAGATGAGAGCAGTTGAGACAGCTGCAGAGGGATTGTTGGCCTAAAATTAATTACGAATTAAAAAACGGGTATTGTCTGCAACAATGCATAATTGATTCCACTAATGATTGTATATCTATGAATCAGAGTATATTAAAAATACCTCCATGCAGGGACATTTAGTAATGCATAATCCTTCCGATTCATCAATCATCCCAGTAACAAGTTGAAATGGTGATCTGAGATTACGACTCAACAATGGAAAGTACTGAAAGAAAATGTGAAATCCGAATGGATTCAAATTTTCCTCGAAATTCTCGCCCCCGTAATAAATGTCAGAGAAATTGGAAGTCTTAAAACTGTGTGTGAAGCCAAGGAAGCGACTTTGACAACTGATCCAGAGGGTTCCAATTTGCAAGTACGACATTGAATTCAGAACCATGGGTTCGAGGTAAATAAAACAAAGGGTTAGTTAATAGCAGTCAGCATAAGCTATTTAGTCCGCCAGAGAAAAATAAAAGTAAAGCCCTGCCATTGCCGATTCTAATTACATCTCACCCCCTCTCTTTATTCGAATCAGTGTCTGTCTCTGAGAAAAGGTCAAAAGCCATGTATTAAACAAAGGGTTTAGGCAATCTAGGCTGTAGTGCTGTATCTCTCTTTATCTCCAGCATTCAGCATTGTCTTGTTAAATAAGAGATTTTTATAATCGAAAAGCCGGTCCTTGAATCGTGGTCTTCGTGGATGCTAGTGCAGGAGTGACCTTCACGATCTCGCCACATCTCTCTCTCTCTCTCTCTCTCTCTCTCTCTCTCTCTCTCTCTTTGTTTCGTTTCGCGAATATACATATATTCGGATGGCCATATGATTTCCTTAAGTGTTTGAACTTTCCGTCGACGAATCCATCTCCCTCTTTTGCTACCCATTCCCTCTCTTTTTGTTTTTATTGGTGTCTTTCTTGTTTGAAGGGTTACCCTATTCTTTCCTTGGTATTTGGTTTCTGTTTACCTTTCTGGGATTCTTCGACCCATCTTTTTAATACTATTATTATAATTTTGTTTTGAATTGGGATTCCCTCAGCTTTTGTTGTTTTCTTTTTAGATTCTTCGTAGACCCTAGTGGTGTTTTTTGGCTTGTATTTTCTGTTCTTTTGCGCTTTGGGCAACTATGTTAGTTAGTATACTGGTAGTATTATATATTCTTGGTGAGTGAGTTTTGCCTCTTTTCTCTTTGTACCTGTTTGATGGGCTGTTGATGTCTATGGCGGTTGGTGAGGATTCAAGTTCCAAGAGCATGGGGTTAGACAAAGATGGGACTGTTGTTGATATTGAAGCTTCAGAGACAAAAACAGCATCAAAGATGCCAACAAACGGTGATAACGTTGAAGGACATCACCCAGGGTTCAGTAGAAAAGCCAGCGAAAGTTCTTTTTGTCCAACTGAAGATGAAGATGACCATGATGATGAAGAGAGGGAGATTGAGTTGGGCCCTAATTGCACCCTTAAAGAACAAGTCGAAAAGGACAAGGTTGGTTTGCTCCATCTCTACCTTCATTTTTCAGTTTCAGTTCTTTTTCCCCGCTTTTCTTTTTGTTCTGATCTTTTCTCTTCTTTGAATTTGAGGATTCAGGATGATGAAAGCTTAAGGAGGTGGAAGGAACAACTTCTTGGTACCGTGGATTTCGACTCCGTTGGAGGTTTGGCTTCTCTTACTCTACATGTCTATTCTTTGAACTTGATGGTTTCTTTGACAGTTGATGATGGTTATATTGGTGTATTCTAGGATTATGATGATGTTAGTTCTTGAACTTCGGCCTAGTTTCCTCTGTCTCCCTCTCGTGTTTTTATAGAATGGAAACTGATCTTGATTCAATATATAATTTTAGCTAGCAAGTTCAAAGGTTATATAGTCGGTAGACCATAATGGCGCTATCTAGAGCATTAGTGTTGTCTTTGATCTCCTCAGTAGTTTCCATTCTCTGTTGTTTCTTTCTTGTTTCACCTTCCAAGCAATATATATGCATTTCTCTACCTGCAAGCCCTTAAAAATCTAAGGAGAAAGAAAAGAAAGGTTGCCCCTTTGTATCCTGACATTTGCTTCCATTGTTTATGATGGTATAGAAAAGCTGGAACCTGATGTTAAGATCCTGAGCCTTGCAATCAAATCACCTGGTAGGCCTGATATCGTACTTTCAATTCCGGAGAACGGAAAGCCTAAAGCCCCGTGGTTTACCTTAAAAGAAGGTAGCAAATACAGACTGCAATTCAGTTTCCAAGTGAACAACAATATTGTATCCGGACTCAAGTACACTAATACGGTTTGGAAAACTGGTGTCAAGGGTAATTCCTTTTTCTCTTTCTCTGTAGTTCATATGGAAGAATTATATTATTTTATACAAAGTTTAGATTTGATGTTCTTCTCGATGAATTCTTGTACCAGTTGATAGCATGAAAGAGATGATTGGGACCTTCAGCCCCCAGGCAGAGCCTTACACACAAGAAATATCCGAAGAAACAACTCCGTCTGGGATATTTGCTAGAGGATCTTATTCAGCTAGAAGTAAGGTAAAATAAACGATAATTCTTCTTTCCGTTATCGTTATACACTGTAATTGCACGAAATGGTTTACAAGGGGGAACACGAAAAAGGCCACTTAAGCTGCTCATGGTTGTCCATCGTCGTACTGTTTGGGCTAGTATGAATCTGGTTTGTGTTGCTTTTATTATAACAAGCTTATGACTTAATTTGCTATTTGTACTTGATTTTCTTTTCAGATGGTGTCTCTCATTATATATATATATATATATATAGGAGGAGATCATTATTTTGAATCTAATTTTCACCATCAGGCAAAAACTCAATATTGATCTTTTCACCATCCAGAGCAATGACCCTTAACAATCGTTTCAGGTCATGAGCAATGCTACATCGATGATCCCCTAATGTCCAAGCATCAATACACTAATAAAGATCCAATTAATGAATTATTTGGATCCATGTGAAACAGGATTCTGGGATTCAAATTTGTGGTCATCTCGTGTTGTAGACATGACACCGTAGTTGAAATTCTGTACAATCTTGAGAGCACAAGCCTTACTGCTGTTTCCGTTGCTCTTTTTTCTCTGTTTGCAGTTTGTTGACGATGACAAGAAGTGCTACTTGAAGATCAACTACAGTTTCGAAATCCGTAAAGAATGGCAATCATAGACGACATACAAATGAATCATTTACAATTAAATCAGTTTGCTCATGTCCATTGTTTGTCAAGTCACCTTTAGATGTAACAATAGTTCATTTACTGTTCTTATTTGCTCCTGTGTGAGAGTGAGACTAGGAATCATCTATACAATGAAGAGAGTTAATCAAAAAGCGTTCTGTTTTACCTGAGTTGCAGTTAGACATTAATTTCTTTAGGATGGATTAATAAAAAGCTAAGCTTTTTCTTTCAATCTACCTTCATGTGATGCGCCGCGCTTATCTTGCATTCTGTTAAGCTTTATCCAGCTGCCATTTGGAGTAATTGGATATGTAATCGACAATGGATGCTGAAACTTGTGAAGGGGGTTCTTTCATAAATGCAAGATCTAATCTTGTTTTCATTCACTGTTAAAGTTGAAAGTTGGCCAAAGCATAAACAAGAAAATTTGACGGATTTAGTGGTTGAATTTTTGATAATATCTCCAATTTTGAACAATCCATATCAAGAAAATTTGCATCTACTGTCGATTTTACTCTAGAAAGAACAATCTTTGTCTTGAACTCTCATACATCCGTAACTATATTTAAAACAAGGAAATGTTGATGAAAATAATTTCCGTTGTCTTGTAAATAAAGGATCTTCCTGCTATTGTTAAGCAACAAACAAATAATGGCTATTCTTAAGCAACAAACAAATAATGTCTCTGATATTCATGGGATGTTGGAGCAATGGAGTTGTTGGAAGCAAAAGCTCTCTTAGATGTAAACAGAGTCTCCCGAATCAATCCACTCTCCAGAGTCCATGTTGGGGAAAACAGGTTATTTCCCACACGAACGTAGTTTTAAAATTGACCTAAAATGTCAAGATTAAAACCACCAAAGGTTGCACAGCGAATAAACCTGTCAAACTATTGAATATTGAAACACAATGGAAAAGAACCGAATAAAAACAATAAAGGAGAGAACACACCAAATTTATGAGGTTCGACGAGAATATCTTCAACTCCTCGGGCACCACACCGGATGATAACTTCACTATATCGCCAATATTACAACAAATGGAATTCTTTAGAATTCCCAAAGTGGGAGAATGAAGAACACAAGAGGAAGAGAGAACTTGTTTTTGGGATGATTTCTAATGGAAATACTTAGGCCTATTTATAGTTGAGTTTTAAGAACAATATGTTCAAAGTTTTGCCACCTACCAAAGAATTTTCCAATGTGTACAAGTTAGCCACCAAATATGAAATTCACATTTCAAAGTTTGGCCACCAACCAAGATGAAATTTCCAATAAGTTGGCCACCAACCAAGATGAAATTTCCAACTTGTCAACTTAATTTCTAGACAAATCTAACAAATCTCCACCTTGGCTTGAAATTACCAAGCCTACTCAACTTCTTCAACTCCCCAAATTTGTAGTGCCTCTAATTGCGCTCACAAGCGCCACACACCCGAAGGTGTTCATACTTTCAGGATGTTAATCAAGTTCAAACAATGATTGAACTTGATTACTGTTATCACCTTGGTCATCATATCTGCAGGATTTTCTGATATCGCAATTTTCTAAAGTAGAATCTTTCCTTCTTCAAATATCTCCTGCACAAAGTGATACCTCACGTCGATATGCTTAGTCCTTGAATGGTAGACTTGATTTTTCGCTAAGTGAATAGCGCTCTGACTGTCACAATAGAGACTAATGTGACTTTGAACAACTCCCAAGTCTTCCATCAACCCGTTAAGCCAAATTGCTTCCTTTACAGCCTCTGAAACTGCCATGTATTCTGCCTCTGTGGTAGACAAGGCCACCGTAGATTGCAATGTAGACTTCCAACTTACTGGGGCTTTAGCAAGAGTAAACAAATACCCAGTAGTTGATCGACGCTTATCCAAATCACCAGCATAATCGGAATTAGCATATCCAACCACACACTGACCAAGCGCTTTATCCTGTTCAAAAACTAAACCAACATCCACGGTTTGTTGGAGATACCGTATAATCCATTTCACAGCTTGCCAATGTCCTTCTCCAGGATCATGCATGTACCTGCTCACAACTCCAACTGCTTGTGAAATGTCAGGACGCGTACACACCATTGCATACATCAAGCTCCCAACTGCATTAGCATATGGAACTTTTGCCATATACACTCGTTCTTCGTTAGTTTTAGGAGATAATTGAGAACTAAGTTTCAAATGAGAAGCCAATGGGATACTTACATGTTTGGTATTTTCATTCATGCCAAAACCTTGTAATACCTTTCTCAGATACTGATTTTGTGTTAAACAAAGCTTCCCTCTCTGTCTATCTCTGCTTATCTCCATACCAAGAATCTTCTTGGCCTCATCTAGATCTTTCATCTCAAACTCTTGATTCAACTGAGCCTTTAATTTATCTATCTCATTTTGACTCTTCGAAGCGATCAGCATATCGTCAACGTACAAGAGAAGATAAATGAAAGATCCATCTTTGAGCTTTTGCAAATACACACAATGATCATATTTGCTTATAATATACTTTTGCCTCCTCATAAAGCTATCAAATCGCTTGTACCACTGCCTCGGAGATTGCTTCAATCTATATAGCGATTTATTCAGCTTACAAACCTATTTCTCACATCCACCATCTTTGTATCCTTCTGGCTGAGTCATATAGATCTCCTCTTCTAAATCACCGTGCAAGAAAGCCGTCTTTACGTCAAGTTGAGCTAGCTCCAAATTCAACTGTGCTACCAAGGCCAAAATATTCTAATGGAGGAATGCTTCACAACAGGGGAAAATACTTCATTGTAGTCGATTCCCTCCTTTTGAGCGTAGCCTTTAGCTACCAACCGTGCCTTGTAGCGAACATCTTTCTTGCTATGAGATCCATCTTTCTTTACAAATACCCACTTGCATCCAATGGCTCTTTTACCTTTCGGTAATTGTGCCAGATTCCAAGTGTTGTTCTTTTGGAGAGATTGCATTTCTTCATCCATGGCACTTTTTCACTTATCACTTTCCAAGCTTTGTATTGCTTCTTGGTAAGTGATAGGGATATCATCATCAATAATTGGAAGAGCATAGGCCACCATATCAACAAATCTAGCAGGTCTACGAATTTATCTCCTTGGCCTTGTAACTGCAAGTGGTTATGATGTCTCCAATGGTTCTTGGGTTTGAACCTCTTCATCTTCTGATTCTTCTATTGGAGTTGAAGAATCAGCTGCATCAACTTCTGGGATCATCGTCTGCTGAAACTCCACTTGTTATGGAGTATGCTCCACCTGTTGCGGAGTACTACTTGTCTGGACAGCTTCACTTGTTACCTTCTTTACTAGGGCAGATTCATCAAAGTTAACATCTCTGCTACAAATTATCTTCTTGGTGTTTAAACACCAAAGGCAGAATCCCTTCACTCCATGGGTGATTCCCATAAAGAGAGACTTTTTTGCTCTCGGATCAAGCTTGGATTCATTCACATGATAATAAGCAGTGGATCCAAATACATGTAAGGAATCATAATCAGTAGCAGGTTTTCCAGACCATACCTCCAATGGTGTTTTTCCTCCTATCGCTGATGACGGCAGACGATTGATGAGATGGCCAGCATATGTCACAACCTCAGCCCAAAATGCCTTGCCTAACCCAGCATTAGACAACATACATCGAACTTTCTCCAATAGTGTTCGATTCATACGCTCTGCCACCCCATTCTGTTGTGGTGTATGTCTAACAGTGAAGTGTCGAACAATATCATACTCATGGAAAACGTCAAAGAATGTGCCAGTTTTATATTCCCCTCCATTGTCCGTCCTAAGACGTTTGATCTTTCTACCAGTCTGGTTCTCGATCATATTTTTCCATTTCAGGAAAATTTGAAGCACTTCATCTTTAGACTTCATCGGATACACCCAAACTCTTCTGGAAAAGTCATCTACAAAAGTTACAAAATAATGGTTTCCTCCCAAAGACGATGTCTTTGAAGGACCCCATACATCTGAGTGAATATAATCTACAATACCTTTTGTATTATGTATAGTGGTGCCAAACTTTACTCTCTTCTGCTTTCCCAGAACACAATGGTCGCAAAAGTTCAATTTGTAAGCTTTTGCACCTTTCAACAATCCTTTATTTGCCAGAATTTGCAAGGATTTCTCTCCAGCATGTCCCAACTACATATGCCACAACTGGGTTGCGTCCAAATCATCACCTCCGGAAGCTACTACAACTGCTCCAATAATTGTACTACCTTGATAGTAATACAAATTATTTTTTCTGATTCCCTTCATCATCACAAGTGCGCTATATGTGACTTTTAAAACTTCATCTCTCATAGTGACTACTGAGCCTTTGGATTCCAAGGCTCCCAACGAGATGAGATTTTTCTTCAAACTGGGCATGTATCGGACATCCGTCAGAAATTTGGTTGATCCATCTTGATTATTCAATCGAATTGAACCTATCCCAACAGTTTTACAGGCATTGTCATTGCCCATATAAACAACTCCTGTATTTAGTTCCACTACATCGGAGAACCACTCCCGATTAGGGGACATATGATAGGTGCAACCCGAATCTAATATCCACTCATCGGAATGGAATGTTGTTAATGAAGCAACCAATGATATGTCAGAGTCATGTGCATCATGCTCTGCAACACATGCATCCGGAGAAACTTTTCATTTCTTCTTCAGCTTCGGACAATCTTTCTTCCAATGGCCTTTCTCATGACAAAAGGCACATTCATCTTTTCCCAGTCTGGACTTCGACTTTGATCTTCCTCTCCACTTTGGCTTTTGACTTTTCGAGTGACCTCTTGCCACCATGGCCTCCGGTGCTTCGTACTTGCTCTCCTTCTTGGTTTTCTTCCTGAGTTCATAACTATACAAAGCAGCAGTTACATCTTTAAGGGTAACATTATCCTTACCATGAAGTAACGTTGTCTCAAGGTGCTCAAATTCATCTGGAAGAGATGGCAACAACATCAAAGCCAAATCTTCATCTTTGAAGGTTTCATCCATGCCCAATAAGTCTTCTACTAGCTCATTGAACGCAGTGATGTGTTCATTCATACTGGTGCCTGGTTGATAATCAAATCTGAACAATCTTTTCTTCATGTGGAGACGATTCTGAGAGCTTTTCTTCAGGAATTTTTCCTCCAAAGCTTTCCATATCTTACTTGCAGAAGTCTCGTTCTTGTAGCCATACTTCTGCTCCCTGGAAAGACAAGATCGAATTGTGCTGCACGCCAAACGATTGATTGTTCCCCATTCTTTCTCCTCCGTATATTTGAGTTTTTCTTCCTCAATGGAGATGTCTAGACCTTGTTGGAATTAACCGTCTAACAC